GATCTGAAGTGTCACTACCTAAACTCTGACAAAATCTAGGAAAAATGAGAAAATAGCCCAGTTTTGTTCCTCTCCATGTCATTGTAGTGTTCCGTTATGTTCGGCTAATCAACAATTACAACCATACCTCAGTTTTGCAAGTTTCCCCACTGACGGACCAAATTCAAGATGATTCCAAACAGCACATATGTATAGTGTCTCAGTACTCGAGACCGGTCTTGGACTCGAGACAGGCCTCAAGACCATTTTTTTACAATCTTGGTCTCGTCTCGGACTCAAACGCATTTGGACTCGGTTTTGTCTCGGTCTTTAAGGCTTGGACTTGGACTCTTGGTCTTGTCTCGGTCTTCGGTCTTTAAGGCGCTTGGAAGGCGCTCGGTCTTGTCTCGGTCTTTAAGGCGCTTGGACTTGGACGGTCTTGTCTCGGTCTTTAAGGCTTGCTCTCGGTCTGGATGGCTTGGACTCGGTCTGTCTCTATGTCGTTGGCCGCTGTGCTCAAAAATTAGGCAAACAGGTTTAAAAATCCCACCCACTTTCTTCACTTTCTTCACAGTTTTCTGTAAAGTGCCAGGGTAAGTTCTCTTAAAGAAGGGGTTCTTAAACTGTGGGTGAGGGTCCAAAAAAGGGGCACAGAATGAACATTAATCAGATAGAATAAAGCTAGATTTATAAAAAAACATTGATATATATGTGCCAAAATAACTGCAAAATACAAATAGGTGTTAAAAATGACAAAGGGAGTCTCAGTTTGGTCTCGATGGGCCATGGTCTTGGTCTTGTCTCAGTCTCGGCCTTTAAAAGTCTTGGTCTTGTCTCGGTCTTGAACGTCAGAGGTCTTGGTCTTGGGACGATGTGGTCTCAGGCTGGTCTTGGTCTTGGTCTCGATTAGTGCGATCTTGACCACAACACCACATATGTATGCAGTCTTCATTTTACTGATGACATTTACTTCAATCGGTTTTATCAGTCGGTCGGCGAGCCTTTTGTCCAAACATCTTCCTGGTTTGTGACGTAAGGGTGAATAGAGCCTAAGGCAACAAAGTACCAGTCTTTTTAAATGGTATTTCATTCACGTAAGAAGAAAACAGAAAAAAGATGAAAGTGTCATAATGCGGCAACATTTAAAAACTCAATGTTCTCAATCTCAATGTAACTAAACTAGTGTTGGACTTTCCCGTGAGAGAAGTTACACCTTTAATAAGATTATGCCGCCCCTCAGCAATAAGACTAAAATAGCTATTAGTGAAAATACTCAAAATCCCATCTCCTGTTGCTGATAAGGAATTACGCCGGTGTTAGCACAAGCCTCAGCACGTCGCTTCAGATCCTCTCATTTCAATATTGATTTGACTAAACTTGCCGGTGTCAAAGATTAAGAAAACACCCCACATGAATGAAAAAGTGCTGATAAGATCCAGGGGAGATCAGAACCTTTTACACAGCCGGAATCATTGTAATTGATGAAGAGGTAGTCCCCCGTCGCTGAGTGATGACCTCACGCCCCTGCGCCTGAGCCCGTCCCGCGGTGATGACATAAGGAGATGTGATTAGCCCAGCGTAATGACGGCTGATTGGACTGAAGAGGGAGCGGAGACCTGATCTACTCTCTGTCTGTGGGATGTGACTTTAATTATCCACTTGTGTTTTGTTTTTCATGCGGCGTTCAGCGGTGAACAACAACACAGCAGTAGGTTAATGTGTGAGGATCTTAAGGAGGAATTCAACTGCAAGTATTAATGACGGGAAGTAACAAGGAGGGAGTAAGAGAAAGTATTTGGAAGTTATCAGGAAGTGGTTCAACAGCAGAACAAACCCAACAATTAAACTTACTGTATTTTTTGGATTATAAGTCGCACTTTTTTTTCATGGTTTGGGTGTTTCCTGCGACTTATATATTACAATTTTCAAGCGGCGAGAGGCTCTAGGCTTGTGGGTCAGTATCTAGTACTATTATTACTCCTGTACCACAGTCACTTTACTCTACTGCGCATGTGTCCTGTAGAAAGAGCCGCTGTCCTGCTACAAACAGTGAAATATGCAGCAGAAAACGGTAATCGAGTAGCAGAAAGAAAGTTTGGCGTGAGCGAGAAACTTGTGAGGGACTGGCGGAAAGCGGGGATGGAGAACACAGCTTCACGGGAACCGGGAGGGTGCATCATGTAACTTTCCTGAAGTCACTGTATGAATCGACAAAGCCTGGACTTCAGTGACACCGAAAACCATCCTGTCGGGATTCAGAAAGGCTGGAATAATTCTAACTGGAACTGATGCTGAGTCACAGAAGAGGAAGCGGTGCTCTGTTTACCTCATGAATCTACGTTTTTTTCTCCGGACGTCGTGCAGAAGTGACACCGAGGATGAAAAATTCAATGGATTTAGTGATTTGAAGTAAGATTGTAAGTTTGGTAAACTTCTTATGTTATGTTTTTTATGCTATAATTATCTGAATAACTGTTAATATGTTACTTTAACGTTCTCTGTTCTATTGTTATTACTAGAACTTGACTTGCAAGATGAAATGTCAGTTTCTGGTCTCTGATTTTATAAACTACATTTCCCCAAAAAGTGTGACTTATGGTCCGGTGTAACTTATGTTTTTATCTTCTTCATTATGCATTTTTTGGCTGGTGCGATTTATAATCCGGAGAAATTCATAGTCCAAATAAAAACGGTAGTTACTTTTGACCTTGGTATTTTTAATAACCTTTCTTAACCTTTCTTACTAAATTACTTGTGCTTTCTATTTTAAAACAATTCTTGATGAAGTGTGCTGTCTAACCTAAGGGATATGTATCGTCGACTATACTCCAACCTATACAGAACAGTGGTATATAAATATTTATGGATATTTTGTTCATCATCACGTGTTTGGGGTCATGACCGTATAAATATTCACACCTGCTGCCCACTCTGTCAGTCCTGATGAAGACTCATAAGTAGTCAAAATGCGTTGGCGTGACCATTAATAGATACACTGCAAATCAGAGTGCTTTTGCCATCCTTTTTTCTACTCAACGAGAATTCAAGCCCTCTGGTCCGATGAGCGCCACCTAGTGCCTCCACTCAATTTCATTTCTCTCCAGCAAATAGGTCAGGAATCGGAATACACAAGACGGTTCGCAAAAAAAACAGAAAGTGCCAGCCAATCAGCGAAGAGCCATATATTCAGTGTTGTCAACGATTCCCAGATGGTTTGTACGAAGTGAAACAAAGTGAAACTGGCTGATGAATCAGGCTACCGATGAGCACCTGTATGTATAAGTTTTGATCCAGTGCAGCACTCCAGTATCGTCATTTTTAGTTACCCTATTTTCTGGGCTATTGGGCGCGCTCTTAAGCCTCCAACCCCATCAAAAAACGACCGCGCTCCCCGCAATCCAGAGCACCCCATACACGAATCCACTCAGGTGTCCCAGCACGACTTCAGTCAACTACAAAGCCGCACCACCCGCAGCGCACACAAACACACACGGAGCAGACAGTGACTGCACAGTGAAAAACACCCGCAGCCACACTCATCACTCCACGCCGACGAGGAACGGAACGAAGGAACAAACTGAAAAAGCGAGTCCAATGTGCCACTTCTAGACACGACTGAACAACTGAGTCACTGCGAACACGCCGACAATCCAGCGGTCCCAGACAGCACCCTCCCTACACGCCACAACTGAACAAAGCCCAGAGTCACCGTGAACACGCCAAAAAACTCCCACTGACTCATCCAACTGTTGTGTTTCGTTAAATGTCTGGTGCGGTTTATTTGTGAAAAAAGTTTGAAAATAGACCATTTAATGACAGTGCGCCTTATAATCCAGAGCACCTTATACTGCAGAAAATACGGTACATCTAGTTCAGAGAAAAGCACATCTTCCGTGTCCAGAAATGCATTTTTCACAAACTAAATAGTCTATATGTTCACTAAACTAGGCTGAAGTACGTCTGTTGCTGCTTCACCTTTAACCTCTGCTAAACGACAAAACTGCTCTGTAAATGGTCCGAACCACTGGTGGCCCAGACCAAATCGCATCAGCAGAAGTCTGCCAAGACGGACTGACAAGAGTTTGTTAGGGCACAGAGTTTTCTTGAACGCATTTTTCTTAAACTGTTTTTAAAATAGGTAGTACAACCTCACTGCAAAAAACTAAATCTAGCCAAGTTAAGCTCACTTGAATTAAGAAAGTTTTATCATGATTTCAGTAAACTTCCCTTGACACTTAAAATTATCTGCCAGTGGAATAAGACTTTCTGTACTTAAAATATGAAAATACATCTTGCTACATATAAAATAAGAAAAATAACAACTTTTTTTGCAGTTTGCACACACAAAGTTTAAAATAGCTTCAATTAAGAAAAACACACTTATTCCATTGGTTGATAATTTTACTTGTCAAGTTGAATCTACTCAAATAAAGTAAAATCTTTATTGAAGTCATTTTAACTTACCTAGACCTTACCTAACACAATTGTTTTTTTGTTAAGTTGGACAAATTATAATACATAAATGAATAAGCAATTTATAAAAGGAAAAAAAGACAGAATACAATGACATCTAGATGAATAAAACTGAGCCTTTTCCTCAGCTTTTCCATTTACTATTGCCAACAAAACCCAAAGGAAGTCTTCATCCGCATGTTTCCATATGTCTGCCGGTAAGCGTGACCAGAACCCATTCCCTCCCTGAGCTGCAGAGGCTGCACTAGCACTGATTCATAATTGACTGCAGGCGCTGGGGTTTAGGTCGTGACCAATCAGATCAGGGAGAGTGATTTTAAGTTTAAACCAACTGGATTTCAGCATTGAACATACGAGGAGCAGTTTGAATCACACTTCAAACTCTCTGCAGCCTGGTATTTGCAATCAGAAACCCATGGCTGTAATCAGTGCAGTGCTACGTGACGTCACATAGTACTTGAAATTACACTACATATTTCTTAACAGCCTGTATCTCCATTTTTTTTTTTTTTCTCTAATTTGACTGATTTCCCGTGTGTTTCCTTCAG